AAATTTTAGGAGACAGTATTATAGCCCGATAATAAATTATGAAATGCATTTACATTTACTATTTGGTTGCAGTTTACAAAGCATGTTGTCCTCAGATTACTTGACCTGTTTTAATTTCTTGTGCAGTGTGGACATGTAGTGACTTCACCAATATCTAGAATTATGTAAAAAGTGAGACATTTGGGCTTGTTTTAGTCTTTTTTAAACATTGTCATTCTGCTGCATTTTAATGTTTAATTCTTTCATTTTTATGTAATCATATTCAGTAACACTGGAATTCTTCAAACATGCATTCAGTCATGTTCTATTTACAATTTTGTTTTAAATTATTTGTGTTTCTAAACTGCTGTAAGTACATTTGTATTTATTTATCCTTTTTTATTTCATGATTTTTGTATGCAGTTACTAAAACACTAGTTTGTCATAAAAATCTGTCTCCTGTTGTGAATGGGTTCTTAGCCATCAGGAGATTATTCTACAAAATCAGGTGTGCTTAGGAGTCCCAAATCCGTCAGTGCGCGGCTTGCGCGTCCGCGGCGCTCTGGGAGGCCTGGCCATTCTCCAGTGGATCCACAGCGAGGACCGCTTCGACTTTAAACACTCAGAGACAGCATGAAACTCAGGGTGCGGAGAAAATACGGAGATTCAAGTCAGAACATCGAAATCTGTCCAGCCGTGTCTTTTTCGGAGCATCTCCTAGCAACGGTGGTCGCTCTTTCAGGCAGCCGTTAGTTCCACAGATCCACGGGCTGCGCGCGGCCACGCCATGGCGGCGGCTCATCTAGGCTTTTTAATCGAGCGCTGAAAACAGGATCTGAAGGGTTTTAAATGTCTGCTCAAAGGACGCTGCTTATTTACTCAAATAAAAATAAAATAAAACTGCTAAAGGTGACATGATAGTCGTGATTTCATTCAGTCACGTTTTACGGTTCTTTTTCTAAACAAAAGCTGTGTTTGTTTATTTATTTATTTTTGGCTCTTTTCAGTCCAGCATTGACCCGAACAACCTCCCAGCATTCACAGGCTTGATACCAGGCACTGCAATTTTTTTTCAGAAACGTACTTCAAGCTTAATAAGATTGACGTCATGATTTTCACTCATTTTTTTGGCGCTTTTCTGCTTCTAAAATCATTGTTTTTATTAAACGGTTGCCAAGTTTAAAAATGATTTATAAATTGGAATATTTTTAAAAAATTAATTTCCATTAACGAATAGAATATTAGTAATAACA